TTTGTAAAATGAGTTGGAGAAGGAAATAGTATACTGCTCCTGTACCTTTGCCAAGGAAACCCCAAATGGGGTCATGAAGAGGGGGACAAGACTGAAATGACTGAGCAACAACAATGTAAACACTTAATAAATGCTTGTTGAGGATAATTCTAAAATGGGAGGTTAGTGAGAGCCAGAGACATTTTGCTGACTTGACAATTTTACCAAGGGCTAGGTTTGCCGCACCCAAGTCAATCAATCTCAACTTCTCCCGCAACCTACTATTTGCCCCACGGGATCAATCCCTTTAATCCTGAGCTCCTGGTCTCCTGGGCCCCTGACAGGTGCTTCTTCCATTGCCTTCCAGGTATTCTGGGAGGTGGAATGGGCCCACCCTGGGCCTAAAGGAAACCAGGAAGAACAACTGAAATAACCAGACCTCCCCCCAGGCCCTGGCTCTTCCCGGGATTCTGTACTCTGTATATGCTGGAGCAGAAGGAGATCTTATCTGCCTGAATGGGGAAAGGAAGAGAGGAAGGATGGGGGAGGGGCTTGGGAAATGAGGGTGGGGAGGGAGAAGTTGCTCTTCCTAGGACACCACCACCTCAATCCTTACTGGCTGGTAGGGCCATTGGCAGGCTGGAAATCTGTCTGCCTCTCTGCAAGGCTGCACTGAAGAACCAGTTGAATCAACATCCTCAGATATCCACAGAACAGGGCCAGTTGTGGGGGAGGGACTGAGGTTTCCTTTGCCTTCCCCAAAGCTGGAGACTGGGTGGGTGGGGGGACCCCCACCTGTTTATAAAGTGGAAAAAAAAAAACACTCAACAGAAACAAAGATAAGCAGCAAAGATGCCGGTGACCCAGTGGTTGTGTGTATGTGTATGTGTGTGTATTTTAGAGAATGATTGTGTCAGGAACCTTATGTAATGCTGAGGAGCTGCCTGTAGGCTGGAACCACAAAGGATAACCAGAGCTCTGGCCTGGCCACAAGAAGGGAAGATGTAAACCCCATTCAGTGTGCTCCCCCCTGCCCAGCCACAAACAGCCCTTTGACAGTACGACTGTTACTGCCTCCCATTCCAGCCTGGCTTAACCCCTTCTGGCAGGGAAAGTAGGAGGGAAAGTGGGGGTGCGGGGGCATGGAAGTGGACTCAGCCCTGCCTTTCCTTTCTGATGGCTATAGCCACCCTCCCCTACTTAGGGCTCCTCTGTCTGGGCCAGGCAGGCCCGTTCTAACTAAAATCAGTGACATAACCCCTAGTAGCCTCCCTGGATTCGTCATGACTTGACTTAACCCTCCCCTTACCCCAACTACTTTCCCATCAACTATTTCATTTAAAAGTAATTTGCAATCACAAAGCCCAATTCTCTCAGGTTCAAGTGCATGTCATTGGAGGCCTTCTGTGATTGGGCTTTCTGCCCTCTGCATATTTTGTCTGGTGTACCTTTCATTTCAGCAAAACTTGTCTCCTCACCGCCCCGCCCCACCCCACCCCACCCTGTGCACTCCATGCTCATGCTGTTCTATACTGTCCACCATCACCCACCTTTTGTCAGCCTGCCCAAATCTTGTACTGAATTCAGGGTCCCTCTCCTCTCTGAAGCCCTCCTTGGCTGCTTCAGCCCACTCTGATGCATTCCTTCTCTGACCTCCGAAAGCAGATACCATCTGAACTCCACCATCTGGCACTACACTATATCCCATTATATTATTTCTGTTCTGTAGGCGTGAATCTGGTCTCCCCAAATCCCAAACAGCAGTGACTGGTCTACCAAAATCCACAAAATCTACTAAAAAATCTACGAAAAAATAGCAAATACTTATAGAACACCTTAAGTTTGGCAAAATACTTTAAACAGGGTGTCCCAAATGTCTTACTGCAGCTTTAAACTATCGAAGCTTAAAACTGCACTAAGATGTTTGGGACACCCTGAATAACATTACCTCATTTGAGTTTAACAATGTGCTTCAAGGGCTTTCAGTTTCAGGATCAAATCATTTCACAGCCCAGGAACCCATGGATCAGAAAGGCTTTGTGATTTGCCCATGGACAAACACCTAGTAAATGCTGGAGATGGGATTCCAACTCAGATCTTTCTGGCTGTAAGTTAAAGACACAATTTACTTGCATGATAGCTCCTCATGCTGCCCTAGGGGAAGCTAGGTGACACAGTGGATGGAGTATTAGACATGCTTTAGCATCTCTACCCAGAAAGGAGAGTCAGCTGGGTGCATTTAGGTGTTGTGTGACTGGGTCACTTTGAGTTATTGGGGAAGGCTTCCAGGGAGGCTCATAGGATCCCTCTCTGCAATCAGTGGTTATGAGTGTGTTCTAGGAAAGGGCCTGGCTGGCTTTTCATTCGGGATTCCCCTCTTAGAGGGGGAATAGAGCAGAGCAGTGACCACTTTGGAGCTGATACTTCCTAAGAAATGTCAAACCCGGTTTCCACCTCCACCCTGGGCTGCTTCAGGCCACTCATTCCTTACAGCCTCGGAGAGAGAATTTAGCTCAGCAGTGACAGTGACAAGCCAAGGAGCTGTTTACTGCTTGGTGGGGAGGTACCAATTGGTAAGAATGCCCTGGCCTTCATAATTAAAACACAAGAAAAGACTCAGTAGTGGTTATTAGATTCATTCTGGATGACCCTGCCAGCTAGTGGTGGCATGTCTCCAACAGTGAGTAGGGAGTTGGGATGCCCACTCCAGGCTGATCTTTGCCCCAGGGCCTGTCCCTGCCCCCACTCACCATTCATTTCTATGCTTCTCTTCCTCTTCCTCTTCTTCTCCTCCTTCTTCTCCTTCCTCTTCTTATGGGGTTAAGTGACTTGCCCAGGGTCACACAGCTACTCAGTGTGTGAGATCGGATTCGAACTCAGGTCCTCCAGACTTCAGGGCTGGTGCTATACCCTACTTAAAAAACGACTTCAGCCCATTACGAAGGTTCCTTTCCTTCGAACTCTAGAATTTACATTCAGTATACAATCTCCCTCAGAGTTGAGACTGAGGAGGAGCCGAAGGAATGCCACAGATTAGATATCACCTATTGCCTTTCTTTCATTTTCTCTGTTTAAAAAAAAATAGTTTCCTTTTGTCCAGGCTTTAACCAAGGTTAAAAGGACTCTGAAGTGCCTATATTTCCTCAGGTGGAATGAGGGCCAGGGGGCCAGGGTAGGGATGGCAGTCAGGCAGAAGTGAGAAAACCTGCCCAGTGACTTACATTTCTTGTCCCATCCTGTGGTGGGGCTAAGGGGTCATAGAGCACAGTGATCTGAGCCCTCTGGCATTCAACTGAGGGGGGGTGAGGAAGGTGGGGGGAAGAAACTTTCTCCAAATTGGCTCACAAGCTCTGTCTGGGATCACCAGATCATTGATTTAGATAGAATCTAAATCCAACCCCTTCATTTTCTAGATATAAAGTGATCTTCCAATGTCAAACAGCTGGAATTTGAACCCAGGTCTTTTGATTCCAGTTGTGGAATTCTTTCCACTGTGGATGAACAATAAATGGGGTGGGTTCACCTTGAGTTGTGTAACAGGCCTCCTTATGCCCCAGATAACTCTAGTTTTTTTTTTTTCAGTGTTGGGGGAGAGAAGGGTGAAACAACACGTGTGTGAGAGTGAGTGTTGGCACATAATTGAGTGTCTAGAGATGGACAATGGCTATATGAGGCCTCCTGTGAGTGTAAAAGAAAAACATTTCACTGACAAAGTGGAAACCCCAAAATGGAAGGTAGGAGCAGTGATCGAGAATTAGAAAACTATAAACAATTTCAATAACTCTGAAGACAAGCGTGCAAACATGCCTGAGGAAGGGCAGGAGGTGAGAGACCGATGTAGGGGTGGCTGTCCATTTTTCTTTGGGGGGGAGGTTGATTTTTTTCTTCCTCCATGTGTGAAGCACTCTTAGAAATCACATTCTGTTGTCTAAACCTGGGGCAGTGGGATGTGCGGAACTTGATAGAGGCCTGGACTTAGAGCCAGAAGAGCTGGAGTAATAACTTACCAGCTACATAACTCTGGTGGAAACATTTTACCTATGTGGGCCTCAGTTTCCTCATCAGAGGTAGACTAGATCTCCAAGGTACCTTCTAGATTGGATGTTTCCTTAGGGGCCACTCAAGTCATGGCCTTTATACTGTAGAGAGCAGATGAACCTGATTGACAGCTGTGTTTTCAGCTGCAAAATCCTAGTTTTCTGTTAACATGATTGGAAGGAAAATCCGTGTCCTGGCTTATTCTCAGCTGTATTCCAGTCAGTCTGTTGTTTCCCGTGCCACCTGGACTGCAGTATCATTTCTGTTGTCTACAAGCATTCTCGGCCTCAGGCAGGGGAGTCTCAAATTCCTGACTACTTCCCCAGAGGAAAAGGTAAGGCCATTTCCTAGCCAACACCGGGCTCCCCAGCTCAAAAACTTTCAATGACTCCTTATTGCCTCTGAGATAAAACACAACCTCTGTAGCCTAACATATAAGGCTCTCCACAATCTGACTCCACCTGTTAACTGTGGCCCAAACTCGGTACTCTTACGCCCAGTCACTCCCTTCTTATCCTTGCTCCACCCTTCTGTCACCTCGCCTGGAAGCCTTCCCTATCCCCACAACAATCCAGTTGTTAGCCCTCTCTCCAGCTCAGTTCCTTTGTTTTGTATTTATTTGTGTACATATTTTCCTCTAATGGAATATAAGCTTATCAAGGGCATAGAGGGTTTCATTCTTTTTTTATTCCAGTCTAATGACTTTTATATAGCAATATAGTAAATAAGAAAAGAAATATATATCAAAGGTAGAATATAATTTAATATATATTATATTTGAACCTATACATTATATTATATTACATAATATACATATATTGTATAAGTAAAATATTGTGATATATTATATATAATATACTATCTAGTAATATAATTAATACAATTATTGAATTGGAGGTAAAGACCCAGATTCTGACCTAGCCTGGCATTAAAGGCCCTGACCTCAATACGTACCTCTCTGACCTTATCTTGTATCACACCATTCATTCATTTCATTCAGCAGAGGCCTGTTACGTGGAAAACTCCAGGCTAGGCTTGAGAAGATGCAAGAATGAAAAAAGACTTTTCCCTGAAGAAGCAAAATGTAAATAATTTATCACTAAATAATAATCATAGTAACAATAACAATAATGATAAGAAAGGGGCAGCTAAGTGGCTCAGTGGATATGATGAGGGCCTGGAATCAGGAAGACTCATCTTCCTGAGTTCAAATTCAACCTCAGATGCTTATTAGCTGTGTGACCCTGGGCAAGTCACTCAACCCTATTTGCCTCAGTTTCCTCATCTATAAAATGTAGTAGAGAAGAAAAATTTAGTGAATTTATCTACCTGCTTAAATTGATGTTCCTGTTCACCTTCACACCTTTGCTGGCCCTCATTAGTACCTCAGGCTGCGATTGGGTCCCACCTTTCTCCACTTATCTGAATGCTATTCATTCTTCAAGGTTCAGCTCAGGCCACACCTCCACGAAGAGATCTCTGATCTCTCCAGCCCTCAGTCATCTTTCCTTTCTGGCCCTAGTCCTAGCTACACATTATTTTATATTGTCCACTATTGTTTCATGTATGAGTCGTGGCTGTAGGCTTCTGGAGGCCAGGGTCTCTGGCATTGCTCACAGGCCTGTGCCGTGGTAGCTATAGTAGAAACCAACTCTGGGTCTATGAGCCTTTGATTCTGTGATAGATGGGGGGAAACCTATCATTTTCACTCCTTTTGGTTTTAATTAAATTTTTTTTCAATGAATAAGCATTTATTTTCTCTCCTTCCTACCTCCCCTTGGGAGGAAAAAGGAAGACAAAACCCTTAGAATGAATATGTATAGTTAAGCAAATCAAATTCCCACATTTGCCCCATCCATAAGGATATGCTTCATTCTGCACTGAGGTGAGGAGCATGCTTCATTATTTCTTCTCTGGAAGCCTGGCTGGTCATGGCATCATCTCCACTCTTTCTGGAGGTGAGTTGAAAGTCCTCATTTTCTCCCTCCCTGGGAGTAAAGACAGTAGGGAGTGAGAGTGGAAGGTAGAGGGAAGAGTAAAAGGCAAATTAGTGGAGCATTTTTAATGAGGGAATGGGGCAGGACACCTGAGTGCTTGTTGGGAGCTGGGCCCAGCTGGCTAAGCCCTGAAGCTGATAGCCAGCCATCATGGAAGGTCCCAGTACCAGAGCAGACCTTTGGAGTGCTGTCCAGTGGCTGTCCAGGAAAGTGCCAATAAATGCATGAGGTCAGGGCAGGTGGTGTGGGGAAGGATGTGACTCAGTGTAGGTTCCTAGCAGCCTCCAAAGATCCCTTGCCCCTACCCCCCACCCCCACAGGCTGAGTTGGATAAACCTGTCAGCTTGTTGATTTGCATATCATTTGATTATGATTTGCATATACCTCTGTGGACCTGGGCCCTCCATTCTGAACTTCTGTGCTGAGGAGGTTTCCCCCTTCCACCTCAATTTTCTTCTTGCTTCCCCTTGCATTGACCCTTGAAATAAAAATGTATAGAGGGGGTAGGCAAATCAGAGAGGAAGAAACATCCAGTAAACCATTCAAGGTCATCCCCCCTAAAAATTGTGAGAGTGAAAACCGTCACTTCATCCTGATCCATTTTGCCCCTTCCGCCCACCATTACCTTCCTCTCTATGCTTCTCCACACTTCCTTACTCCACCTTCATTCACACAAGAAGTCAAGGGCTAATACACCAAAATGTGACTCATTCCTGAGGCCAGGGTCTAAAGCTAGACTGCAGGGGTTCTTAACCAAGAGTCCATGAATTTAAATTTTTTTTGATACCTGTTTTTAAATTTAACTGATTTCCTCTACAATCCTATGTATCTTATTTTATGCATTTTTCAATATTGTTCTTAGAAGGGGGTCTTTTGTCTTTACCAGACTGTATTGCCAAAGGGATCCATATACACGAAAAGTTAAGAATACATGAACTAGAGGGATAGAGTTCTGATCAGAGTTTCAGGCAAGCTGGGAAGGATGGAGAGATGAGAATATAGGCTTGGTTGATTGTTCTGGAGCTATGGAGAGGAAAGAGGAGGTCTCTGCAAACCTTGGCCTCTCTGAATCCTTTGCTTGTATGAAAGTGCTCACTAATTAGCCCCCCTTAGGTTTTCTTTCCAGAGATCTTTGTAAGTTAACTCTAAGATCTGTACACCTTGCTGAAAGCAGCTCTGCTCTACACATTTGGCCATTGTAAGTGAGGTTGCCTTGAGTGATGACAGATGAAAGCAATAATAAAAGGTCACTAAACTCAGATCCATTAAATAAGCAGCCTTGGCCTCAGAGAAAAGAGGATGAAAAACATCTCTCCCTCCTGATATAGAAGAGGGGGACTACAGGTTTGGAGTGTTGCATATGCTATGAAATGCTGTTGATTTATTTGTTTTGATTACTTCTTTTTCACTGTTACAAGGGAGGGTACAGTATAAGTGAGGTAAGTCAGGAAATGATTGATATTTCTAAAGGAAAGAAAGAAAAGAAGGAAGAAAAAAGCAAGGAAGGAAATGACTAGTGTTTTGGAAGGAAGGAAGAAAGAAAGAAAGAACATTTTGACTTAGGGCAAGGTACTTTTGCCAATTTGGGACTCAGTTTCCTTATGGAAGTGGATGATTTCTAGGGTCCTTTCTAACTCTTTACATTCTGTGGTTTTAAGTGACACCAGCCTTCACCAGGAGGCAGGATGGGAACAGGTGAAAACTGTCACCAGAAGGAGACCTATACCCTGGGAAAGCTCAGAGAGAGAGAGTGAGAGTGAGTGTGTGTGTGTGTGTGTGTGTGTGTGTGTGTGTGTGTGTATGTGTGTATCTGTCTGTCTGTCTCTGTCTGTCTGTGTGTGTTGGGGTTTGAGGGAAGAGGGATCACTAAAAACCACATTCCAAAACCGTTTGATCACAACTGCAAATGTGATCGCAGCTTTACTCCCCAATGGTTAGTTGACAACATCTATTATGAATCCAGGGAAAAAAGTGCCTTCGTGAGCAAATGGAGATGGGGAGAGCTCCCCCCCCACCCCTCTTGCAGCCTGCAGGTGCCTGTCCCTGGTGATGGAGACTAAACTTTGTGGGCTGGGCCTGGAACCAGCGGGGCTGTGTCCAGGGGTATGGTTTGTTGATGGGAAGCTACCTCCTGAGAAAGTTGCAAGCCTGAGGAGTATTCAGCTTGTAGGGCACATGGTAAGATAGGCACTCCCAAAAGTATAGCACAATGACTGCTGGAGATAATAGCAATGATAATAAATGATCATTCCTCAGTCTTTTTTAGGTCTAGACCTGTGACTTCACTGGCCTAGGGAAAGAGATAGTAAAGTAAGGAGACCCCCTCTGTCAATGCAGATTGGTACTTGTTCTGAGGTATTGAGAAATTAAATGACTTGCCCAAGGTCACTCAGCTGGTAAGAGTCAGAGGTGAGATTTGAACTTGGGTCTTCCATACTTGGAGGTAGCTTTCTCTCCACTTCCCCAAGCTGCCTCTGAACTCATAGAGTGCTTTATGCTTCTCAAAGTTATCCACCTAATTCTCTCATTGGATCCTCACACTGGCACTGTGAGGTAAATAGGGCAGGTATTTCTGAACCTTACTATAGTGGAGAAAGCACAGGCTTTAGAGTCAGAGTTTTGGCCTTGAACCTTGGCTGTGCTGAATAAGTGGCCTTAGACAACTGAATCACCTTTCCTCGTGGGTGCTCATTTTCGTCATTCATAAAACGAGGGCTTTGGATCTCTGAGGTCTCATGTAGCTCTAAATCTGTGATCCTATAGCATGTAAGCTCCTTGAGGGCAGGACCCTTTCTGGGTTTTTATCCTCAGAACCTAGCACAGTGCCTGGCATATAGTCGGCCTTAATACATGCTTATTAAGTGACTAAGTAGATGAATGAATGAATGACTCCCACAAACTAAAGTAGTACCTGACATATAGGAAGCTCATAATACATTGTTGTTTGCTCTTTGTTTTTGAAGAGAACTGATGATATCACAGGGTGATGTCTTGACTCACAGGTGAATTGGCACAGCAGAGTGGCACAAAGTCATCAGCCTCACTCTCTGTTCCAGAGTCATCTAAGTCCAGTGTGTGGGACAAAAGTCAGGATGACTGGTGATGACCTGGGATGCAGGGGATGACCTTGGTGTCTTTGATTTTTGACTAAACTCTAAGCACTCCATAGGCCTGTGTCAGATATCTTCAAGGTCATTGGAACAAATTGTTCTCATCAGCCCATTCTGCAGAAAGAAGTCTTCCCATGCTTGGGACAGACACCCCCCTAACTCACTGATGAGCTTGAGGCCTGTCAGTTACCCTCAACCTTGTTTAGCCTGTCTGCCAAGATGGTTTTTCTGAGTTGTGACCATTGTGCATACTACAGCTTCTTGAAGTCACAGTTGGGTGAAAGGTGGCCCCCAAAGGTGGATGAGCAACCCTGAAAAAGACTCAGCAAACCCTTACACCAGAGGTGCTAGTCTTCCCTGAACACCCATTCACCCCTCTTAATACATACTTGTTGATTGAATGAATGAGTGAATGAATGCCTGTCTGTTTTGACTTTATTTTATATAAGGCCTGAAAGATCAAGTGATTTGCATGAGATTATACATGCTAGTGAAGGGCATAACCAAGATTAAGCCTAGGTTGCTAGGTTTCCTGGCAGCCAGAAAGTCAATGTGATCTTAAGTGGGCCTTGAGAAGATGGCGCAGTGTCCAGAATTAAAGAGGCCCCACAGTACTCGACCTTGTTCAGACAACAGCTGGTGTTGATGCTGCATTTTAGGAAGGAAATGGATAGGAGGAAGAACATCTAGAGAAGGGTAAATGAGAAGGGGAGAAGAATGGAGACCATGCCCTTCCAGTACTAGAAGAAAGAACTAGGAATATTTAGGCTAGGAAAGGGAAGTCTTGGGGAGACATGATGCCGACTTCAAATATTGGAATGGCTATATAGTGGAATCAATCAATTCATCAACAAGCATCTATTAAGTACTTAATATGTGCCAGACACTGTATGGAGTATGAAGTCCTGGGGATATAAAGAAAGGCAAAAACAGTCTCTGCCCTCAAGGGGCTTACATTCTAATGGCAGAGACAACAGGTAAATAATAGGGATGCACAGGATATTTACACAGTAGATGAAATGTAACTTTCAAGGAGCAGGGAAGATTTAGTTTTGTTCTGCTTGGCCCCACAGGAAAGAATTGGGTAGAAGGTGTAAGGAGGCACATTTAGGCTCCTATCGTTAGAATTCTCTCCAGTAGAATGAGCTATCTGGGATGGCAGTGGGATCCTAATCCCTAACCCTCATTGGGAATGTTATAGAGGGGATTCTTGGTCAGGTATGAGATGGCCTTGGATTCTGTGATTCTGGCTAGGCACAAGGCGAGCTCAGGTATCATGAATTGCTCTGCCTGTAGTAGGTGGGTGCCAAGCCCCTCTGACTTTGGGCAGTTTCCCAGCACCAACCATCTTGAGACTAAAGCTATCTTTGAAGGGCAGCCTCTATTCTTGTAGGATCCTGCCAGGCCTGGCCCTTGTCCAAACCCTGCTACCTTCCTCCCTGGCTCCCTTGACGTGTACATACACACACACACACACACACACACACATATACACATTTCCTGGAGTGGCCTCAAAGATCTCCTGGCAGTTGGTTCCCTTATCCTCGACTTCCTGTTTGGGCTCCATAGAGGTTTGGCCGTTTCAACAGCTGAACCAAGGCTGTGAGAGAGAGGAAAGAGCCCTATAGCTGGGAGGGTCATCAAAAGTGAACTGGTAAAGCAGAGAGTGCCCCAGGATGAGTGAAGAATCCTCACATCCACAGGCTCAGGGCCAGGTCACTCTGAAGAGGAGAAGATTACATGTCTACCCATGGATCACGTAGCCCAGGGATGGTGAGATCATCCAAAAGGGAAGAAAACCAGTCCAATCTCCTCAGGATCTCTTCTTTCCTCCCTTCCTATAGGTCAGGTCCACTGTTGCCTCTAGGCCCAGGCTCAAGGTTCCCTGCCTGGAACGCCCTTGTCAACTATCCCATCCTTCAAAGCCCAGCTAAAGTCCCACCTCCTCGGTGACATCAGTTCCAGTCTCTCTTAGCTTCTGGGATTCTTACAAAGGGACCTGGAGCATGGACCATAACTCTTCCCCGAATGTTTCCTCCATATGGGTCTTTTCCAGAGAACTAGATTAAGCTCTAGTAGGTGGTGGGGAGGGCAGGCTGTGTGCCCTTGTCTTCTCTCCTGCAACACAAAACCAAATATACGTCAATAAATACTGACTGATGAGTAGAATTTTCCTTTGCAATCAGAGATCTGAGATGGTTTGGAAGGTCCCTAGGCTTTCTTCAGGAGCTCATTTTACCTTCTTTCTCCTATGCCAGGTGTTCCTTCCAAATGGCTACATGGCTGAATTGACTGATGATGAGGAGATTGACAGTTTGTGCTGAGTCCCAGGTGGGAGTATCGTGAAATTAGTCCAGCAGGAGCTGAGCAGAGCTTAACTCATTCATACATTGCAGAAGAGAGAGAGGTCCACAGGTAGGGAAAGGTCCCAGTCCCCCCCATTCCCAAATCATCAACCTAGTTGCTGATGAGGAAAAATCTTCCATTAGAGCATTATTCCTTGGCTTAAGATTTTATCCCCAGGAAGGATCATCTATTAAACCTTATCAATCACATGTCAGTGCAAATGTGGTTCATGAGGAAAGAGGGATGAGAATAAAATCTGGGGGAGCCATCTCAGAAGGAGAAGTGGGGAATGTTACCAAGGGGATTCTGGTTCAGATACACTCTGAATTCAGAGGTCTCTTCTAATCCTGTTTTTCTGTGGAGTATAGAGAGGAACTTGAGCAAATCAGGGGGATGCCACAGGTCTAATCTGCCTGGATTTCAGCAAGGCATTTGATAGAATCTTTCCTGCTATCCTTAAAGACAAGAAGGAAAAATATGGGCTAGATGATCCAGTTAGGTGAGCTTGCATCTGGTAGAATTACTGAATTCAAAACAGTAGATTATAAATGATAAATAAATAATAGATTTGTGTCAACCTGAAGAGAGATGACTGGTGGATAGCATAGAGCTCTCTCTTTGGCCCTCTTCTGTTCTACAAATTTTTAAAAATCAATTTCTTGTTTGAAGGCCTACTGACATCTTTATAAAATCTGGGGATATCATCACGTTGGAAGAGATAGCTCATTCATTAGATGACAGAATTGAGATCCAAAAAGGTCTCAATAGGCTGAAACATTGAGCCAAATCCCATAAAACACAGCCAAATAAAGATAAATGTAAATACCTGCACTTGGGGCCAAAAAGTCAATGGTACAAGTATAGGATGTGGGAAGTATGGCTGGACATTAATGAAAGTGAAAGGGAACTGGAGGTTCCAGTTGTATCTGAGTCAACAGTGTGATAGGGAAGCTAGAGTAGCTTACTTCTTTAACAAAATAGTGGTATATTCCACTGGCTGTACTACATCTGAAGTATCTTGTTCTACTCTGGGCATTGCATTCAGAAGGATATTGATGATAAGTTGAGGATCCAGAGGAAGATGACTGTATCGGGGAAAAGATGCAGAGACCATGGCACATCAGGTGTCTTCCTACCCCCACCGCTTAACCCAGTTGAAGATATGAGGATATTTAGCTTGAAGAAATGAAGACTATGATAGCTGGCTATCTTCAACTACTTGAAGGGCTATCAGTGGAAGATTATGCTTATCTTCCTTAACAGAAAGGGAAGAAATAAGAACCATGAGTAAAAGTTACAGAGAGGAGATTTAAGCTCCATCATTGTAAGGAAAACACTTCCCAATAATTATGCCTATCTAAAAGCAAAGAGGACTCCTTCTTCCAGAGGCAGTGGGCCTTCAGTGGAGGTAGAAGTCTTTAAGCAATGCATTTATTAAGTGCTTATTATATGTCAGATAAGTCCTGGAGATACAAATGTAGGCAAAAGTAGGGTCGTTGTCCTCAGGGAGCTCATCTTCTAAGGGAAGAGACAGCAAGCAAACAAGGTGTAGATATTGTAAATGAGAAGTAATCTCAGAGGAAAGGCACTAGAAATATTGGAGAGGGGGACTTAGACGGAGGTAGGGTGGATCAGAAAGGGACAGGAGCGATCAAAGATATCTCCAGCCATAACTAATTCCAGGTAGGGGTCTTTGGCTAATTCCTAGCCATGCTGTGAGGTCAAAGACTGGGGTGTGGGGGAGAGTGGTGCAGGGTGGTAAATAGAATCCTCCTGTATTTGGAGAATCAGGAGACTTCGTGGAGAAGTTGGGTTTTGAAGGATGGGAAGAATTTACATAGACCTAAGTAGAGCCAAAGAGGAAGACTAAGGGTTTCCAAATCCATTTAGGAAACTGGAGGAACTTGGTAAGTTCTGGGAGAAAGGCCCCTAAGGTAAGCCCCTGCCCTGACCCTTTGAACCCGACCAGCTCTGACTTTTTGTTTATTCTCACCCCATTAAAGGGCAAGAGAAATGGAGATTGAGAGAAGGGCCCACCTTGAAGGGTCAGGGACAGGTTTCTGCCCCATCCTGTTTCTCTTGGGTACTTTTCTCAACACCTGTCTGCCCCACCGTTGGCCCTCCCCTCCCACCTCCTGCATGGTGGGGAAAAGAGAAGTACAATTTATATCTTCTGATTTAACACTCCTGCTAACTGCCCCCAACACACAGCCTCCCTCAGGAAAGACTTGAAGGATTCATTGCTCCCTGGCCCTGGTCCCCTGCATATGTTTTTGGGGGGGGTTAGGGAGGATTGTTATGGGGTGGGAAGGGGGAGGGCACAGATTTTAGATATAATAACCTCAGGATGTCTTCTGTTGGGAGGCCGTTTGCAAACAGGAAGGTTGTTGCAGTCAGCTCAAATTAAAACAAATAAACAAAAGAAATCGGCCATAGCTGACTTGAGGCAAGGGTTTTATAGCCACAGAGAGGGTGGGCAGGGTGTTTGGGCATCGGGGACCAGAGCTCCCCCCCTTTCTGAGCCTATGAAATTGGGCCTGAGTACTCAGCAAGCTAGGGAGTTGGGAAGGGACAAAGCTAGTACCTACTGAACTCTCTAAATTCACAAACACTCTCCTGCATGCTAATGGTTAGAGGTCCTGGGATTTAAAGGTGGTAGGGGCCTTGGGGATCTTCTGGTCCAATTCCTGGTTCACCAGAGAAGGAATTCAAGTCCCAAAGAGGTGACTTGCCCAAGGTCACTTAGATACTAAGTAGCAGAGGCAGATTCAACCTCAGATCTTCTGAATTTCTGTCTGGTTGAAACAATACCACAATGTTTTCTTCTCTGGGGTTTCTCTCACGCTCACTCTGCCCAAAACATCAGAATGGACTGTTTGTTTCTTCCTGAAGGCAGTAACAGTCTTCCTCAGGAAGTTTCCTAAGAGCCAGTTCTCTCTTCCGTCTTCTCTTCCCTCCTGCAGCACCACCCAGCCCAGGGCACTCCTTATTCCACAGTGGCTCTGGCCATGGTGGGCTTTGACTCTCCAGTTAAGGAGACCCCTTAGAACCAGAGAATCCTAGAGGGTCTTTGAAAGGTCATCTTGAAGCGGGGGCTCTGGGTCCAAGGATCCCATTCACTTGGGCTCGGTGAGCAGTCCCTTCCCCTTCCCAGGTCTAGTCCCCCAGGGGAGCTAAGAGCAAACTGACCTGGTGATTTGGAGTGATGACCTTGTGCTAATCACCAGTTGCTATATTTGTCTGTCAGTTCTCTTTGCTGACCAGCTGCTTGGCTGGCAGGCTGGCAGGGGCGGGTGTTTGTCAGCTTGGTCCTGGCCCCGGGGTATGGGTTGTAGACAGTTGTGGGGGCTGGGCAGTGCAGGGTTTTATATTATTTTTCAAGGTGAAAACAGCCCATGGACACAACAGTGCAGCCTCCTGACAGGGAAGGGGGATATGTAGGTCCTGAAGGAATAACAGAGGCAGAGCCAAAAAGCCTGGGTTGAACTCCTGCCCTTGCTGTGTGGCTACCTGAGTAAACTTGGGCAGGTTTCCTTGGGTCTACAATGGGGATAAAGATACTGACAATGCCCATTTCACAGGGTCGTTATAAGGCCTTTGTCATCATCAGGTGTGAGAAAAATGTGAGTTGTTCCGAAGCAGTGAGGCTTAAATGGGCACTCGACCTCAGACCAGTAACCCATTTCCTGGCCCCGAAGTCATTGAGGGTTCCAGGAGCCAGGAAACACTTCATTTAGGAGGCAGAGACTTGAAGAACAGGTAGCATTTAGCTAAGCAGGCTGGAGAGAACATACCAGGATGTGAGAACAGTGTGAATCAAACTGTGGAGGCAGGTATGAGCATGGCATAGAAAAAGAAGGTATGGAGAAGGCTCACCTACTCTAGTAGAGGAGGGTTGTAATTAGGGAAGATGAGAATACAAAGCTTTGTGGTTTGGGGCCGGAGTGTAGGAGGGCCTTGAATGCCACAGTAAGGAGTTGGCGCTTTATTTTCTCTACATTTGGGAGTTTTTGAAGGTTCTTGAGCAAAGGAACAGAATAGACAATAATCACACACATTGGTAGAGCGTACAAAATTTTTAAAGAAGGTACCTCGATTACCACCCTGAGAGGTAGGTAGTGTAAGTATTATTATGTTTATTTCATGGATAAGGAAACTGAGACTCACAGAGCAAAAGTTAGTATTAGATTCAGAACTAAAATCCTGATCTCTTTACCCAGTCTGGTGTTCTTTCCACTACCGTTGCTCTATGAGGGAGTTAATAATAATAACAGTCATAATAGCTAGCATTTATATAGTGCCTACTATGTGTTAAGCATTATGCTAAATGCTTTACAAATATTATTTGATTTGATCCTCACAGCACCCTGAAAGGTAGGTGTTCTTATAATCTCCATTTTACAGTTGAGGAAACTGAGGCAAACAAAAGTTAAGTGCCTTGTCCAAAGTCATACAGCTAGTAAGTATCTGAGGCAGGATTTGAATTTAGGTCTAGTTCTCTATTAGGAAGATCGTAATAATAATCACTAGCATTTTATATAAGTGTTAAGGTTTACAAAGTATCTTACATATTTCAACTCATCTGATCCTCACACCGACTCTGGAAGGTAGGGGTGATGATTATTACTATATATATATGACACTATACATACAATATGATTATTAGATTATTTTAAAATATTATATATGACATGATTATTATACTTTTTACTATATATTTTGTATAATTTTTACTATATGTTATACTATATGGATAATATTATTACTATATTAAATACCATATACTATTATTACTATGTATAATTTACTATGTTACATATAATTGTTACTATATATTATACTAGATAGATAATATTATTATTACTATATAGTATAGCATATACATTATTCAGTTATATCTGACTCTTCGTGACCTTGTGGACCCTAGCATACCAGTATGGTCTATGGGATTTTCTCGGCACAGATACTCGGTTTGCCATTTCCTTCTCCAGTGGATTAAGGCAAATGGAGGTTAAGTGACTTGCCCAGGATCACACAGCTAGTAAGTGTCTGAGGCCAGATTTGAACTC